CAATTTCATACACTCATTCTCCTATTCAAGAAGTTGGTCATTTCCCCTATTCTTACATACTTTATAATCTTAAGCTTGGATGTAAAATCCTCGTAGCCTGCAAAACGCTGTGTTTTGGACCATTCCATTACGCTAACCGAGAACTGCTTTGCGCAATCTTTCGTCATTTTCGGGTGAAATGAATTAAATAATGCCTTCTAGCCAACTTTTCATCCACAATAAAAAGTTGTGTCACACTCTTTGTGCTCAGCCTACCCTCTGGCGAATGAGGCAACATGCCCTAATAAACCTGATGGCGACAGCACTCTTTTAGCGGCCGGACTTGTACCATAAGTCAAATTTCTCTCTTAAAGCCGGGCACAAAAAAAGAGAGCCATGTAACTTGACGAAACAGAAAGCCAAATTAAGAGACTTAAGAAGGCCATAAATCATATCTCGTGTTGCCATAGCAAGGCTAGGCAATCGTTGGCAAAATGAGTCTCTTCTGGTTGCTGGCCGTTTTCTTTCAGCGGCGCCTCAAGACGGCTTGGCTCGTCGAGCCAGACTCTGTGAGACTGAGTCAACTGGTCTCCTCGGCATGTGCAACACAAGTCCACCAGCCACATTGGCCAGCGCAGAGTCGATCCGTCGACTGGAGGCGATCGATAAGTCAGCCAAACCATCTGTTCGAATGTGGCCTTTGGGCTTGGCCCATTTTTCGTATGACTCATGACCACCTCCTTTCACGCTCGACTCGACATGCAGGTGCCCATTCTTTTGAATTGATGGACAAACGGCCGACTGGGCAAAAATCGATCGATTCGAGAATGACCAGCCTGTCTGAACGAATCTCACGGAAGGTCTGTATGTATGTAGGCTTGTCGACGGGACTTTGAGAATGCGGACAAACAAGAAGACAGGCCAGCTGAGGTCTGGACTCAGCGAAGTTGAGTCCAAACTAGGAGCGACTTGGACGCACTTTAGGCAATATTCGGCTAATATTGCCCAGTTAGCTCTGCGACGAGTTACTCTGTGCGTAAAAGAGACCGCACAACTGGATAACCTTAAACGACTAAATTGCTGGTGGTTTCGAGACCTACTCGCAGATGAAATAAGTAGTACTATAGAACGTACTGACAAATGATTATTTGCCTCTTCTACAAGCCCATTCCAATGTCTGATTTGGGAGAAGCTTGGCTTGAAAAGCAATCTCGGTGTCATGGTTCTATTGGCCTACAAGTGTTGAGCTCACTTCTATTTTGGGTGAAAGTATGTGTGGTGAAGAGAGTTGAAGGTTTATGCCAACAGAAGAAGACGGCGGAGTCTTCGTAGACCTGCTATTGGTTGGCTCAACTGGAAGATTTTTTCTGATGTTGGCCCCGAGGGAATCTCCTTTGATTTGTGTGAAAATTAGCTAGGCTTATGCCTCTCATATGATAAATTCTGTCAGTAAAGAGTATCATTTTTACAATTGTTGGGATTACTTCCATTTCGAGTAGAAGTGTTGGGTGAAGAGATTCGAAGGTCGGTTCCAC